GTAGATCTGCTCGTCCATTGTTGTTGGTTGTCCCGGTGTTGTTGCTTCCTCCACTCGTCTGACCATCGAAGCTGCCAAAAGGAATTGCTCCAGCATTGAGTGGAGTGCCACCAGGAGTGTTTGGACGAGGTGTATTCGCCATTGCAAGTCACTGGAACTGTTCCAGCTCTGATACCATATGAAAAAGCTCAATGAGCTTAGGGTTTGTAGAGGAAGAAGAGAGTGAAGGCGGCACAAAATGAGGGAACCCGCAAGGAGTGATTCTCCTCTGCTACTTTTCATTTATACTCAACAGAAAGGTAAAGTTCAGTACAGTAAAAATGGAACTAGTCCGTTAAAACAGAAATACGAAAAGCAGTAAATAAACGCGCCACTTGTCATCGTGTAATTGGCCCTTCGTTGCTCCACCTAACGTTCACTGAGAAACCTCCACGACGTCGCTTTGGTATTCGCCTTAAACATCAGATGGAGGGGAAGGCAGAAACGTTTCGTTTCTGCCTGGTTCGTTTCTTCTTCAAACTTCAAGCTCGCGCCTTCTGCAAGTGACCGTTGAAGATCAGTCGTCTTCTTCCTGGATTGAAATCCTCTGCTCGCCCATGGAACCGACTCTGAAGCCGCGATTCTGCGGAGTGGAAGAGCAGCTGCCGCCGCGCTCTTGTTCGATGACAACCAGAGTCCCCTGCAGGCTCAGAGCATACAACTTCCCTCTCAACCAAATCCCGCTGCACAGCGTCACAAACCGATCGGCCCCGCAACCATTCGGGTCTTTAATTGGTGAATCCTGCTTCTTCCAAGCGAAACTTCGCCCCTGTTCATCGGATCGAAAATGGGCGAAAGCAGGGAGGGGCAAGCCAGTCAGGACAATCACCACGGCATCCTCGATGGACCTGTTACGGCTTGGGCGAAGATATGAGATGCCGTCGGAATCCCATTGCCAGCAAGGGAGACTTCCCCAATACGAATTAAGATCGTCGAGAGCTAGCAGGTAATAGCGAAGGCGATCCGGGATTCGCCCTGTTGCCCGTTTCATTCGCATGGAAAATCCGACGAGTTTGGGTTTGATTCGATGGAAGGGGACATCTTTCCTGGTCAGCCACCGACCTCGGACAGAGAAGATGGAAGAAAAAACCGGGTGCGGAAACTCGCCGGAGGTTTCAGATTCAGGGGTGAATAGTTGGAGCTGTGGCAGAGTGGCCGGAGGAGGACTGGACTTGCAATTGTTATGTTGGTGTTGTGACCGCCTTGATTTGGTGACGCCGCCGGGGGAGACGTTTTCCAGTCGCGTGCCGCCATTACTGGACACTAGATTCGTCGCGAGCTTCAGGGTAAGGTCGTACCACCTGATTGGATACCCTGCTGCTATAGCCGCAGCTAGTGATTGAGAGGGATCATCAGCTGCAGCTTTCTTGCTCTTGTACTTTTTGCCTCGGCTACTGGGTTGATCAATGCCGGGAATTCTACCGTCTCTACCCGACATTTTTGTGAGACGAAGAACAGAGGAGGAAAAGGTTCTGAGTTCCAAGCTATGGAGGAAGGAATCTCTATATGGAGATTCCCGGGAAGCGATTTCCGTGGCCTGCAAGGCCTCATTTCATTTCTTTATGGAACGTATATTTTTGGTTGACCTTTCTCTCTTGGCGGGGAAATGGTTGACCTGCTTATTAAATCAAATCCACAGCATCAAAAACCGGTGATGATGAGAGCTACCAGACTGTTGCAAGAAGAAGAAAATGTGGTTGCCGCCGGTGGCGGCAAGGATTAATATGAGAGAGTTGACCTCTGATTTTGACTTGGGCCAAGAAATTAGGAAAATGGGCTTGGGCCTTTGGGGCCGAAGGTACGGTTTTCATATGGGCCTGCCTCGGAACAGTCCACCCTCTTAAGGCTTTTACAGAAAAAAAAAATTTTGAATAAAGAAAATGGGCTTGGGCCTCTTGTTTATTGAACTAGCAGAAGCCGAGCAGGCCGCCTGCCGGAATGCTGTCGGTTCTTACGAAGAAACTTGGAATAGTCTGCCAATATTCGTAAACAACAAAGCTTAGCTTAGGCACGTAAGGTTAAATTCTTGAATCCTGCCATCTGGAGATGGATGGTTACAGGTTCTGAGATTAATACAAACAAATAAGAGCACAAATCTTACAGTCTATACACATTATAATCCTCTGGAATTTTTCGTTTTTATGGGTGTCTCAATCAGTGGTGTTAGTTTGACGGAGAAGATGTTTTCCATTGAAAGAGAGATCACCATTCCGATTCTCCCTTCTTGCAAGACCGATAGTCTGATACCAATAGTTTTTCCGTGTGTTTGTTGATAGGTCAAGGAGGTGCATCCGCGATCTCCCTTGGAATTGGATTGTTGTGTCTCCGCCGCGGACCTTAATATGGGGAGGTGGGGAGGAAAGAAAGAAGATTGTATGTTGTCGATCTTGAGAATAACATCTAATTTTAGAACTAAATAGATGCGTCAAAATAATTAATGAATTGTTCGTTAGAAATAACAGTTATAAACGTGAAAGTTTCGGGCACGGTATAGATATCATCTCTTAATATTATTATTATTTATATGTGAAATTTTGAAGATTAAAACCAAGAAGCTAGATGATGAGGAAGGCGGCCAGGTGGTTGACAATTGTCAAATAACACAAAAACGTTCTTGCTTGTGTTTGTAAGTATGTAACATGGAATCATTACAATACAACTGCCAATTCGTCTTTATGTAATAAGTAAGCTTATAATTGTTTGTTTTTATCATTTAAGGTGACAACTAGTACAATGATTCTTTGGTTTTGTCCCCAATTTACCAATCACTAGGGATGGCAATCAAACCCATGGCCGCGGGTACCCGACCGCCCCATACCCAGTCAATGCGGGGAATCCCCGCTTTGACCGGGTATGGGGCGGGTATGGGTAAAACCCGCAAAAGGTTTGATGGGTATGGGGCGGGTATGGTTTTAGCCTCTCCCGCCCCATACCCATACCCATACCCGCCCCACCAAGAAAATTTCTTCACATATAAAAAAATACGTGGATTAAATTGTAATCTATCAATGATGATGATGATAACTCGAGAAAATAAATAGTAGAAATGCAATTGAGTAACCACCTTAATCAAAACCTAATTCATTTCCCTCAATTCTCATTCCACTCTTTCACTTTCCCTCTTGTCAACAAAATTATGTTAGTTAATTATTACTTAGTAAATGTATCAAGAGTTAGAGCATAATAATTTAAAAAATATTATAGTCTATATTATGTATTAATGGATATTTTAAGATCATATTCTTTGAATCGTATTTAGAAAATGACCGTGTTTTGTTGACTTCGTGATATAATAGGTTTGTTTATGGTTATAATTAAAACTTTTCTGGTAAGTTTTAGGTATAATAATGTTGGATGTACGGGGATGGGTATTACCCATGGGTACCCGAAACCCACGGGTATGGGGATGTGTTTGCAAAAGATTCCCCCGCATGGGTATGGGGCGGGTATGGGTTTGGGTATTTGAAGATGGGGATGGGGATGGTTTAGGCAAACCCGCCCCAAACCCGCCCCATTGCCATCCCTACCAATCACGTAGCCTCCCTTTGTCTCCTAATCTAGGAACCGCCGGCATCACTCACATACTTACTTTCAACTAAGTACTTGATTAAATCGCTTTTTAACTTTACTTTACTTTAATGATGACAATAATTATGGGATGTTGCATTGCCTTCAAGTGAAAAGGAAAATTGGTTAATAACTTGTATTTCATATCGAAATTATGCATGTAGTAGAATCATCAACACCAACGGTTGGAACTCGAACAAAGTCGTAGGTTCTAAAAGAGTGTCATAAAACCAACAAACTATTCGAGCAATGTTTATATCGATTATAGTTGAGATTGTTCGGATGTTGAACTATTTTCAGAAAATTTCCATCGCAATGCAAACATATAGTTGTTAGTAACTAGAGCCATTTGAAGAGTTGTTGCTTAACACTTAGCAGCGTCTCAAATAGCTCTTCTTCGTGCTCCACTAGACTTGGAATAAAAAAGCACTCTCTGAAACAATGATGCTAAATACGTTGGATCTTCTATTTGGCAATTAAGGGCTCGTTTGCTTGTTGAATTTGAAAATGAGGGTCTTGAGTTTTAGAAACCTTTGGATTTATTATGGATTTGTTGCATTATGGATTTGGAAGAGTTAATTGTTTGTTTGGTTAATTTTTTATCATGGATTTATCATTGATTTCTCTCACAACTTTGTCTTCCATGATCAAATCGCAAATGAAATGTGGGATTTGCAAATCCGTGGCCCCCACGGATTTGTGTCCCTTAGCAAACAATGGAGTTGTCCCAAATCCATGATGCTTGAGATTTGGGTGCCAAATCCATCACCCAAATCCCACAAGCAAACGATACATTAGAGTTTGCCCTCTACGGTGGTATCTTTCAAAAAGTTGTGTCGAACGAAGTGCTTTTTTACCCTCATGGACGAAAATAAATATGGGTGTGGAGAAGGTTAAGTATTTCAATTTAAATTTTTACTTTTGACCCCCAAGGTGAAAAAATAGTTTCAAAGTTGGGCATCATTCATTCAACTCATGTCCTGTCTTGTCTGTAAAAGCCCTCTTCTGTGGATTCTGGACATTGGTTCTTTTTTCCTATTTCTCCCCTGTGAGTTGTTCTTTTATCACTGACTTTGATCCTCCTCCTCCTCCTCTCAATCTGTACCAAGCAAGCATCCAAAGTTGCTTAGTCAATGCCCCTCCTCCACTAATTATATATGTATCTTTCTTTATCTCTTTCCTAAGCTGAGCTGGTGGTGGAGGGATACCAAAGCTTGGATTGGAATGGAATGGTATCATTTGTTAGTCTGCTGAGTTTTTAGGCTATCCCTTCTTCTGAAAACCTGAGAAAGAAGTGTCCTTTCTAAACTCTTATCTCTCAATGATGACAATTCACCCCATCCTCTATTATTTTCTGGAAAGGAATCTGTGGACAGCATATTTAGTGACACTCTGTCAGCAGAAAGTTGCAGGGGTACTTTCTGGAGAGAAAATCCATGAGGTACCTGATTTTGGTGTAAATGACAAAACTACAAAATACAGTAACTAGAAAGCTGGAAACTTGATGAACCAGATACTGGAAACTTTCCCAGGATAGTTACAAGTTAAAGAATCCAACCACAACACAGAAGAGTTTACATAGCCAAAATGGTGATCACAACTCTTTTTCTTTTTTTCCTTTTCTTCTCCTTTCCAGATCATTTACAATTTACACCAAAGGACAAACCTTTAAAACATCTGCTGCCCAGAACTACATGTTCAGGCATGAAGGCAAATTTCATCTCTTCATACTTTCTCCAGAAAACAGGATGGACATCGATATCGCTAATCCTAATCCAAGAAGAATGAAAGGGGAGGGGGTTTAGAATAAGCTTAAGAATACAAAGATACATGTACAAAAATCCTGTGAGCAAGAGCAGGAACTGCAAAAAGAGGGAGGAAAATAAACACATACAGAGATCATCAACTCTTTCAAAGCAACATCCAAAAAATTTGATACTGGTTCGACATCAGCTGGACTTCGAGCGATGGTTTGGATATATGAGTTATGAGTAAGATGCTGGCAGCCACCTTCGATGAACTTCCGATAAGAAGTCAAGTAGATGCTGACGTCTCAAAATTGATGCCCCCACCGGTCAGGTGAAGCATATACCCTACCCTGAAAGCAAGAAATGGCAGACAAGAGCAATTCAATCATTCATATCAGAACCGCCAATATATGTTGTAATGGTGAGAAGCTCCCTAACCCCCACCATTTCCTGCCCCTAAAACGAACTCCAGCCACCAGGTTTTGATACCCCTCATCTTGTTGTGAAGTGGCTGACCCACGACCTGCCTCCAATATGGATAAAGAAGAATAATGTATCTAATACTGGCCTCTCCTCTTCTTAAGACATGACCTCTGCATATCTTTCCATTAGTTGACGAATGAGAAAAATCCATTCCCAAGTAGGTCTATGTTTGCAGCCAACCATACCCCACCACTTGTCATGCCTAAGCATTCATCAGACATGGGCCCAGCTGAGCATCGAGATTCGAGCATAATGCATCCACGCCTGAGATAGTGAACACCAGGTTGATCCTCCGGAAAACCAAGAACAATCTCAGGTTGGAACTGGAAGGCCGTAACTGTGGTAAGATCGAATCCTGCCATCCCACCCTGCAGTCACAATGACAAGACCCCATGCATGAGAGCCAGCAGTGCTCTGGCATGAAGCTTTCAGAAACTTGTACTGGGATTTATGCATCGATGCTAATGGCGTGGCTGATGAAGGGCTTGATCTTGGAAGCTTTTCCTCTGGCCAGGTTGCTGAACCTTTGGGATAGGACTCGAGGTAGTATTCTTGACCCAGATTGAAACTTGCAGGCGAAGAAAAAGGCAGAGATTCTCCATTTTCCGAGTTCCAAGACTTCTTGAAACCAGACCAAGGCAGTGCAACCGATGCATCAGCAGAGAACCGCTCACAAGACTTGATGTTTTTACCATTTGGGCAGAATGAGTCTTCCAAGCCAAAACTATCCCACATATAAACATTGGCATCTTCACAAGCTGATATTATATTCTTTCCGTCTGAAGTAAACCGTGCAGATACATGATTCGCAGTGTTCCTCAAGCCTATAAACAGAGAAAAAGGACGAAAATTGATATATGTGACATCAAATTTTTGACTGAAGAGTTGGGTAAGGAATGGAGATCTATATACCTTTGTATTTGGCAATCACATTGAGCCCTTTCAGTATCCTGACTTGTGAATCGGCACAGCTCACCATTACCTTGTCCGAGTCTTGTGGGGAATACTGAAGGTGAAAGCATACATTCCAAGTAAAAGGTTAGAGAAGGTTAGAGAAGGATATGCATTAAGCTCGAAGAATACACTTAGTAAGGTGGCTAATGATTACCTGGAAGGCAGTTATTCTTTTTCCAGGTGACTTCTTTTTGGTGTTTAAGCACACTTGTGCATCCAATTGCAAGCGATTGTCTGAGGTATTGAAAAGCAGAAACCTTTGTCAAAAATCTGCATGTACAGCTTACTTCTACACACCATTAGAAGTTGAATCTGAAACTATGGAGGAATTACAAATTAGATACAAGAACACACCAGTCCTATTATACAAGCGGCAAGTGCCTGTCATTGAGCCAACAATCAATCCCTGCATAATGAGGAAAGGGGGAAAACTTGAATCAGAAAACTGTTATGCCAAAGACTACATGGCCAGAAAAAGGGCAAGAAAAGAAAATCAAGGAACCTGCCCATCTGGACGATAACAAGCTGCTGTAACTATTTCTTTAATGTCGACCCAGTCAACAACTTGGCAACCAGAAATTGCCCAAATCCGAACTTTCCCATCTATGGAACCACTCATGAAGTAATTATCATCCCCAGGATTAAACTGAACACAAGTAACTGCACCACAAAGAGTTGGAACAAAAAGCACGATAAATAAGTGATGATTATGACAATGTATCTAGAAAAAGAAAGTAAAAGATAACAAAGAAACATTACCGTAGTTGCTATGTGAGTAGATCCCAAGGCATCGATTGCATCCTACTTGCCATAGACGAACAGTTTTGTCAACTGAAGCCGACAGTAAATGCTGCACAGCTCACCAAAACACAAGCAGAGTATTAATTTATTTACATATTCTGCATAACAAATTCCGGTTGAACAAGGACTATCATAGAAATGCTGTTGCTTTGAAAATATGGACTTACACTATCATTTGACCATGACAAGTCCAAGATATCTCCACTGTGACCAACAAACTCATGCAATGGGTCCTCCAATATTCTGAAAACTTTAGGAGGGAAAATCACACAAGCAGAATCAGATGTCTTCCTCAAACTCCTCATTTTAACCGTCTTCTCTTGATTACTAATGAGGGGTTTCAACTCGGATAAATGATCCACAGTGAAGTAGATGCATGAAGGATCTATTTCTGGAATATCACGTTCATTCGATCGATCATCTTCAAGAACTTGCCATACTCTCACGATCCCATCTTCACCAGCACTTGCCAGGTACTGCCCATCTGGACTAAATTTCATCGCCAAGATCGAGCCCCTGTGAGCCTGGATATCTTGCCCACTATAGAGTGCAGAGAGCTCCTTTACTTGCTTCCCAGATTGCCTAACTTTCACCCTCCGTGTCCTATACAAAAGTGAATCATCAACCGAATGGCTCATCCTCTCAGCCTGTGTTCTTCCATCCACAGCACATGCCATTGACCTCAACCTGCTCAACCACCGTTTTTTATCTGCCTTGGAAGCTGTGCTGCTGCTTGTGCTACTATCATTGGATCTCTCACAGTTCGGCTGAAGCTGAAGAAGTGAAGAAGGCAATGAGCCAGAAGCTTTACTACTACATTCCCTAGCTCTTGCTAAATATGGTGAATAAAGGTCATGACTTTCATCTACATTAGAAGCCAGCCCTCCGCCTGAATTCCCATCTCTACCTACTAACTCTTGAGCCGAGCCCAACTCCTCCAGAAGAATGGAACTTGAAGACCTTGTCGAACAAAACTCGCCTTCATAACAAGAGTTCCTCAACACAGCCCCACTACTTTCAATCATTCTATTAATCCCGCTTCCTCCTGGACTGGGCAAATCTCCATCTGGGCATGAACCTTCAACTTCCATCCACTTCAAAAACATGTTTCGTCGTTCCTCCACACTTTTGGGGGCGTCGGCCCACAATGCATAACGAGGGCTAGAGGCAGCTGAATTGATATCTCCCAAACTCTGCTGGCAATCAAAGATGTCACTACTGCCACCAGAGATTGTCGATGCAATGTCATCAGCAGCATCGAAAAACCGGAATTCTTCCTCGCTCAAGCTGCCCATTGCTACCCTGCTTTAGTTCATTCAACCCATCAAAAGAAAACAGCTTTTAAGGTCCCAGTTAGCCTGCCACCACCATCGAAATCCACACCAGAAGAAGCAATCCCAAGGAGCTGAGAAGAAGAGACATGAGAACAAAATACCATCAGCAAAACAAGGAGTAGATAGATGTGAAGAACAACACAGAACTCAAGGGTGGTTTTTTTTTTTTGGCAGCAAAACAGAGAGGGGTTTATTAAGAATTAAAAGAACATGGACGGAGTGACAATATAGCTAATAAACTACACATCACGAGATCCAACATGAATCCCCATATCTTCCTCCTCCAGCCCATTGAACCTATCTTCCTTCCAATTCCACAAAAAAAAACGCTTTCATTATTCTTTTTCCATAAACAATGCCAATATGCAAACCCCAGCTAAGCCCCCCCCCCCCCCCCCCCCCCTCCCACAAAAAGAACGCCACAAACACAGAAACAAGTTACCCCATTAACGGGAATTTGAGAGATCACATGACTGCATTTCGAGAAACCCGTTCAAAAGAACAACCAGAGAATCGAACCCAATAACAGTAAAAGCAAAAAAAGATTGGAGCACCGAGTCAGGAATTCAATTCAATAAGCAGATAGACAGAGATGAGTTGGAAATTCCTAATGGGAAAAGAAAATGAATGTTTGCAAGTTTTCTTACATGGGTTATAATCAGGTTTCCAACGAGATATATTGGAGACTGAAGAAGGCGTAGATCGAAGCATCCATTAGAATTCCTTTTCAGCTCTGTCTCCCTCCTCGTGCCTCTGGAGAAAGCAAAGAGAAAATCCACTGCAGTGATAAAAACGAGAGGCTTTATATAATACCAAACAAAGAGAAACCCCAAGAGAAGAAGAAGAAGAAGAAGAAGGGAAGGAAGGGAGTGGGGTTTGTATAAATAGAATTTTCCCAGTTACCACCAGAAACTCCAGAAGACATATATATATGGTATTTTATCATTTAAAAATAAAGATTTAATAACTGGAAAATAAAATGGATTTTCCTGATTTCCCCCCGAAGGGCGAACAAGAAAAGGAATAATGTATTTTTTACTTATAAATTATTATTTTGCTTATCATTAATATTATTATTTTCCTTGATATTCGTGAACGGATGGACCGAGAAACGAGATTTTGAAGGGAAGGGAAGGGGCATATGAGTAAATTACTTCTATCTGCGGGGTTCTTACAATACAGTGACACACACTCACATAGCCACCCAACAAGTGTCATCCTCATATTTGCTCTTTTATGAAGTAGTTAATTAGCTATAGGTACCCATATAATCGTAAAACATTTTAAATTTGGGCGAGTTTCTATTGAGTGATAACGATCGTTCGACAAAAGTATAAAAAAAAAGATCATTTGAAATAGTGTAAAGAAATAAAATGAGAAGAGGATTGTTTCCTATTTGAGATGATGAGCAGGAGTTTCGTTAATTTTTTGTTTTCCGCGTCTAGATGAAGTAGTTAACAATTTTTTTTAATGGGATCACGAGTGATTATAATGATTTGAATTTGGACCCTATCATCATACATGAGAAAAAGCTACTCTCTTTTAGATGCTCTGAAAGTCGCTGCATAATCGTCTTGTTGGTCTTGTCGATGTTGAGCGTAGGAAGATTTTTAGTATACGGGAAAGTATGGAGAAATTCTTTATCGTATCGTGTCAATCATGAGTTTCGAGCTGTTACTAAGAGTACTCCAATGCTATAAACAATCATCCATCCTTTGTAACATGCCTCGCTCCTCAAATGATTTGAAACGACGACGATCTATAACTTATTCATTCCTCTAGAGATCATGGTATTTATACGGAACGCCTCATTGGATACACTCGCTACTCAGAGAAAAAAAAAACTTTAGGGGAAGGAAATTTTGTGAATCGTCAATTTGTCATAGTAATATTAATGATATGTCATATAAGTGTTAGATCGTCATGTCTAATTAACTTTTTTTGTGCTGAGTGTTCTATCCAGATCTTCAGAGATAGTCTTTTTTTGTTTGTTTTTTTGCGAGAATGGATTATTAGTTGGGCAAAACTGTAATCATTACTGAAAAGTTTCTTACTAAGAAACATAGAAACTTGATCATGGAATATATATTAGCTGTAATATTCAGCAACCATCATAATACAAATGAAGGCATCCCAACTAAGAAATGAATGAAGAGAGAATAATCTGATTGATAATGGAAGAAAAAAAAGAGGAAATAATTATTGAAGGCCATGTTCTTTTGAAGATTCCTCTTCATAGTCTCGAGCTAGAGGAATATTGTTCTAGAATGGGGGAAAAATTAACATTTGTGTCATGAAAATTGGTTCTACTTGGATCAAAATTCCACATCATGCATCATTTACCTTAAAACTCCATCTATGACTTGCCGAAAAAGTATTCCAAAAATTGGTACGTGACAACTATTCAGATTTCACATATGTAAGAATCGAAAAACTCATACCCATATTTTTCTGATTCCCACACTTTATACAAAATTCCGTACTCATAAGAATTCGAACTCAAATCAAATATTTTTTCAATTTGCTACTGTCCCAAATCCTTTGAGCTCAAAGGACCAACCAACTGAGTCAGGTTTAGTTAGGTTCATGTCCTCACTGTGACAATACAAAAGAACTCTGAAAAGTCTAGTGAAAAAGGGGCACTAAGAAAAGTTAAGCCATTTGTTTCCATATTAGCTAACAATTCAAACTTTAGTGCCTAATTTTCTGTGATTAACTCGCCTAATGATTGTCCTTTTACAAAACCGCCCACTTTCCCAAAGCTTAAGAGCAACATTAACAAGACATAATTATTACTCATCTTTGGAGGTATTTGGCGCCCATCATCGATTGTGTTCGAGGTACACGAGGGGGGCAAAATCAAAGTTTTGTTCTTTTGTCGAAACTCATTATGTATAAATTAAGGTTTTGCTTTGTGGAATCGATCATTATTGATGTGTGAATTGTTATGCAAGTGTCATGAGTGTTTTTATATAGTGGTTAGTGTGTATATTAAGTCTCTAAATTTGAGGTTTTCGGAAAGAACCCGAAATTTGAGAGTTTTATAGTTTTGTGATATGCTTAGAGTCGGCAAAGAAGATAGTTTTTTGGACATATGAGAAAAATCGAATATAAGGTTCTTTATAATGCGAGATAGGATTCGCTCCATTTCGTATTTAGTTGAAAACAAGTTACAAAGAAGAACATCAAGTGCGGAATCAAAGTTTTGCGACGACGCTAAGATTTAGTTCGATACAAATGAAAAGAGAGCGAGTCTGTAATCCCTTGTAGGTGACAATAGGTTGGGCCGGCAACCCCATCTCCCCTCCATAACTTCTTCTTCTTCGGGCTCACCTCTCGCTGGAGTTAATTTTCTTTCGTAAAACGAGCTCACATGTCTAGGGAAGAAGTTATAAGTTCGACTTCTCTTTTCCAGCCGACTATATGTCTCCATGTCCGCTCATTCTTCAGATGACTCAGTTGAAAAAGTTAGGTTGTCAACTTCACATCGGAACCATTTCATCACCATCTCAAACATTCTAAATTATTAGGACCATTTTCTGGTTTCTCAAAAAAAATTGGATATTTTTGGGGCCAACTAATGATCTCTAGTCAAAGTTCATGTCTTTGAAGGTATTCCGCTTGAATGTGACACGATGGCATAGTGTATATTTCATACTATACTGGTTTGAAGGTATGGGTCAAATTGGTGGTTACCGACATCATTAAAATAATTAAGAATGCACATTAACCGAATTTGGGAAGTTGTTGCTGTTCATGGCTTAGTCAAACCTAATTTAATCAATTTATTTCCTATTTTTCTTGGCTAATTATCCATCTACTTATGCATGCATGGTGATCCGTGTTTTACAAGCTACATACGTACTCACATACGTATTCAATTGCGCCAATACACAAGACATCAATTGGTGAGCTAGGGGGACCAATACTCGGATATTAATTAAACTAAATTAAACTTAAGAAATCGCGTTGGTACGTAGTACACTCGAATTCAGCTCGAATCAATCAACAACTATGGTGGAGTCAAAAATCTGATCGAGGAGGCTAGAAAAATAATCAAGGTGGAGGAATTTGAACCATGCATGTTCATTGGGGGAGGGGGGCTAGAGCCTTACTAATTATTATGTTTCCGAATTTGTTACAAATTTTACATGCATTTGAAACTTGAAAGTTGAGGGGCTCCAGATTTAACATGGTTCGACAAAATTTTACATCGTACATAGCAACGCGAGCATTGCCGTTGGGAACAAAAATGCTACAATTTGGACGACACATATCGTTCTCTCGAACCACATGGGTAGTATTGATCATATAAGTTGATGTCGTGGTAAGGTAGGCAGCCGAACTCATCAACAATTGGTCGAGGGTTCAAGCTTTTTGTTCTCTCTCTCTTTTTTTTTTTTTTTTGCAACTGAAATGTCAACTACCTGCCACGACGAAATGACCTGCATATAATCGACCTTGATCATCTACATTCGTGAAAAATATCGGTGGTACTTCTGTTAGATGGGTCTATTCCATATATACTTCTTTATATTATAGGATAATAACTACTTATTAGCCAAACCTTTTTCGGATTCTTTTTTATTAGCCAAGTCTATCGAAATACTAAGAATTAGCAAAATGTTAACTCCCAGTTAGCAATTTTGTTAGTAATATTGACTTGGCAACATGATACTGACTTGGAAGAGACACATGAAAGTCAACATTCCAAAAGTTTAATATTTTAACTAAGAAAAGAGTTATAAAATTATTAACGATAACGTAAAAATGGCTAATAATTTGATGTATTACGAAAGATTTGGCTAATTAATAGTATTTTAATAGGTTGGGTAATATAAAGGTATCTGAAAAAAATTTGGATAAAAAATAGATATTAACTATTAGTCTAAGTTGTTAAACTAGCTAGGCATAGCTAGGGACTAGAAGGTTGTAATAAATTAATTAATCTAATTTAAGATCTTAATTACAACCTGTGGGTACAAGCGCAAATCCATGCAATGCATGTATAGCATATATATGCGTTGGTTGGATCAAATTTATATAAACAAAAAGGACTTGAAGTTGACTTTCCATTGATTCAATGTACATTCAAGATCTTATTAGTTAGCTAGCTACATTAGGTAGAATCAAGGGAGATATATCTTTCTTGATCAAAGTGTTTTAGTTGTTGTCGCCCACTAACTTCTTTTGTTGGAACTTCATTTATATAATGTGCAAATGCACCCAATCCACCCCTTGCCCTATACATGAAACTAGCACAAAACCTGATTTGAAATGGTTAACCAGTGACGAAGTCAGAAATCTAAATGAGATGGGTTGGTTTGAAACCGCCAATCGATTGGAATGGCTCGAACAATATATAATATATTTTGATCAATAATCACACGGTTATGTATCACCATTTGCTTCAACTGGATTGACATGAAAAGTTTTTATTGTGTGTGAGGGCGATAGGAAGGAGACAATGTTCCACCAAACAAGCTGCAAGCAAAGCTGGTGGGTCTCCATACTTCACAGCAGCTGCTGCAACTCTGTTGGTTAGGATTTTTCCTTTCCATTTCTTTCACTTGTTCCATTGAACCTTGAAATGCACCAAATCAAGAAGCTTTCTCCATCTCCTCCTTTTACTTTTATCACTCTTCCTCTGCCTTTCAGACATGGGTTCTTGAGGTGATCTCCAAAAAATTCACTAAAGAGTAGTGCAACTCTTCTCAATATCTTTCCGGTCGAACCGCCAATACATTACGAGATAGTTATAACATGATAAATTCGATAACTATGAGGTCTTTAATCAGATTATTATTATTATTATGAAATAGTGAGTGAACCAAAGCAACCAACGCCGTATTTCCCAAAACTTGTCACATTGTGGGCTAAAACAGAAAGATCCCCTCCCTCCCCAAAACAATGATACAATTTGCTCTGTTTTGTTAATGAGTGGGTTTCTTCATCATATTCATTCATCCCAAATCTGGATCTGATCTGATCTGATCTCTGTGCTGCAGTTAGTTACAGCCGGCCAGCAGCAGAAACACTGAGACGAACAACCTTAACTGCCCTTTCCTTGGGATCTGAGAGAGCTTTTTGGACGGTCGTTTCATCTCTATAGAGATACCAAAACGACCAGATCTCATCTCATTCATCATCACCACCACCATCAAGCTGGTAAGTGGTAACTGATTTCCATTAGTGTCTGCTGGTTGCTGCATTAAAGTCTCTCATCACTGGTGGTGGTGGTGGGCTGGACCGTTGCACCACCCAATTACAAGTACACAAACTTTAGGGTCCATTTTTTTTCTTCCTTTCCCTCCTCTCTCTTTTTTCTCTTTGGTTAATGCATAACATAACAGGGGATTTATAGGACCACTTGCCCTTGTGGAGGGCAGAGCCAGAGAGGTTGGGGGGGATGGCAGCACGGGGCCTGCAATTGGCTATCATCTCTCTTTGCTGCATTGCCCCCACTCCTCCTCCTATATGTATAACCTCCAATCTAGGTAGTATGCTCAAAACAGGTAGGCGCGTCGACGCGGGCTGATACTGTACAGTCGTGTGGATCCTGGATGCATGTGCATATAGTCATATACAATCTTGTCAGTCCGCTGCAGGAACGAAGCGACCGTGCGTCTTGTAAAAGAACACAAACGCTGTGTATCGGTTCGGTGATGGACATTGTTGTGGGATGCGAGAAAGATCTGGACATTTCACTGTATCTTTTTTTTATTGGATCGTGTACTCGTGCAATTTTCGTAAAATAGAAAGAAAAAAAGCATATATCGAGTCAGTGATCGTGAGAGACGAGTGATCCGAAGATATCAGCATGTTAGCAAAATGCTATAAACTCCAATCATCATCATCATCAGTGGTCCATTTGATATGAATCTCACAGCTATACTCTCTCTCTCTTCTCTCTCTCTAAATAACTTTTGGGCCCCCAGCTACAAGTTTTTGGTTATGGTAGGGAGCTTGATAATGGACCACCCTATCTGAGTCTCATTAATCTTTTGGGTTTTGCTTTGAAGGTACTATACTGGGCATGCAGCAGGGAATTCAGAGAGTAGGATGGTCCAAAATGGTGTGTGTTCGTTTGTCAACAACTCTACTACTCTCTTCTCTTCTCTTCTCTCTGAGCTTTTCTTTGCAGGAAAGTGTGTGTTGTGTTGTTGTTGTGGTTCTGACAGTCTTTTATATGTAGTTTTGATTCGGCATGCAATGCCAACTGATACAGTACCTGCTGCCTGCTGCTAGTGCCTTTCTTGCATGTAACTATTGCACTGTCCAAGTCTCATCAGCCATTGAAACACACACACATTGTAGTTAAGTGATTCTTACTTCGAACCATTTCTCGTTGTGGCGATTAGGGTTTATCTTTGTTTCGGTGGAGGGGTCTCTCGTCAAACCTTACCAGGAAACCATTATTGATAATGGGAGATCTAGCAGAGAAAGGATGACAGAAATAGAGAACTCTGCTCATTTCATCTTTTGTGATTCATTTGATCCTGAAACCTCGCCTTTGTTGAAGATAAACGAACAATGGCCAAACCTGGGCCTCTTTGAAACGTTGGCCCAATCGTCCCTAGCCCAACCATTGCTGAGGCCTGTATCTACCTCTCCTGGCTTCAAACTAAGAACACCCAGCAAGCTTTCCTATGGAGAGCTTTGTGCTCTTGCTTTTGTATTCTTTACTTGACGAGAATCACAAAAATGACAGCTGTAGCTTAATGATTCCCTGACCCCAAACAGTATCAAGCAAAGGGCTGGCAATCCAAATGCTAACAAGGATGCTATGTGAAATGGCTTCAATATAGAGGCTTCTCAAGAATGATAGTTCAAAAAGTCTACATCACAACTTTGTGAGATCCTGTGATCAACTGTAGTGAAGAACAAATGAGCAATGAAGCTGCAAAAATTTGGTGACTACACTAGAACAGGAGGATGAATATTCATCTCTTTCAAACTCCTGTAAACCAAGAATGCAAGGTGCAGCGAAGGACGACAGATGCTCTATATAGTTAGCTTGTTAGACTGCCAGCAGACGCTAAACAAAGTGCTCGGTTGGATACTCATGCTCATACCCGTTATAATCATAGTATAGCCTTTCTCCCTTTGGTATATCTCTGTTCGCAATCAGCAAAACTCGACACTCGCCATCGACATCGTACCTCACACATTTCAAGTTCTGCTTCCTTTTCCCCTCGCTGCAGTGCACAGCATCAAACAAGATTTAGGGTGACTAGTCCCTTTTCGACAACCTTTGGAAGAGGCCTAAAAAAGTCAGACCATGAACTTACGGGGTATGATTGTTGATTCCATTGATGAATCGAGCTACATTTCCGTGCTTATAAGGGCAAACGACGAGGCTTTTGGCAGGGTCATCAGCCGAGAGCAGCGTCATCATGCTGTCCCCGTCATCGTCTTCACGTTTCTCCAAGTAGTCAACATCACCAACGTACTCCGTGACAATGGTCAAGTCTTTGATGAATCTATCTGCCTCCACTGTGAACCTGCTTACAATTTGAGCAACGAGATTACACAAGAATCTCCTTTGATACATAACATTCTGCTCTGGTCAGTAACATTAATCACACATACACATATACCCTTCCAGAGGATCTAAAACGACCATAAGTGGTGGGCATTCTCCTCTATCCATCATTCTCTTGCACAGATTTAAGGTTTGGGTGTCTTCCTTTGACAAGACCTATAAAGTTGTCATTCTGAAAATGTCAGGATTCTGAAGTCTGAACCCTATCAATCTCCAAAACAGCAATTTGGCCAAGAAGATGATGAATCAACAACTCTCTGTTGCCATATCAGTAACTTTCAGGATTTTATTAAACTAAGCTGAAGGCTACTAATAAACATAGACTGCCACTAAGACCAATTTTAAAGTCACCTCCTTATACGACTATCCATTTTGGCTTCCAATAATGGAACATTGCATCCTGCTATTTGTCTCAAAAACTCAAATGAGCAATTATCAAGAAATATATAATCAATCCCGATAATGTCTACCTGCATTCCTGTCTTCTCAAGAGATGCTCGGTTTGCAGACCGAGGTGCCATTCCTCTTCGGTAAGTAAGATCATCAGAAAACCTTGTTCCAGAGGCTAGCAATGCCGTGGCAAGTGATCTCATCTGTTCCAACCTTCTGTCAGGGTCCTCACTTGGGTTAAAAGGCAATAGCTTCCTTCTCTTTTTGGACATGACTAAACTTCCAGCTCTTTTACGCTTCTTTGTGCTGTCTGCAATAGCTCAAAAGCCATTCCGAACTTAATTACAGCCAAAAACTAAGGAAGCAAAGCAAGATCACACTCTCATGCATCTATCCAAGAACATTACTTACCCTCAACCGGTTTCTTTCTTGGTTTTGAAGGCTTCTGGATGCGAAAGAAGTCGACAATTTTGGTCTGGACCAGAGGAAATGCTGTTCCAAAACAATCAACGAGACATGCACAAGTCGCATCAGACCCATAACAACATGTTTAGCACTTTCTTCAATTCTTCGCATCAAAAAAATTACTTGAAGTCCGCCTATCGAGCAAGCCAAAATGGACAGCAATCTCGTAGCCCGATGATTATATTAACATAAAGCCCCCATCTTTCTTTTGGGTCTAGCTGTGCAGCCTAGTCAATGGCAGGCAAACTAGTTACGGTGACCTTCTCAGGATTCAGATTCAACATGCAGAGCAAAACCCACTTGCCTTGCTAAGCTACCTGATTTTTCACCTAGGCAACATAACTTACTAAAACCCTCGCCATTGTGAGAAAGGAACCAAGCGATTCGAGTGAAAATTGATGCTAGCACTGCACACATTGCAGCTGTAATGGATCAATACCCACAAGAATATTTCAATTCCCGGGTACAATACCAAAGCAGACAGTGCAAAATCATTCGACCAACATCAGTACTACAAGGGCGGAATGCTAAAGAAATGGAAAAAAGGAGGAACAGGAAGCGTTCCGGAACCTACATTTGACCTCCTTCTGGTTAGAGCAAGAACGGCAGAACCAGGAGCCTTTTGGGACGGAAACGAGAATAGGTCTCAAGCAAAAGAGGTGGTACCCTCTGTCACATTTGTCGCAGAGAAGCAGCTCGGCCGGAGCGTCACCGGATCCGCATTCCTCGCAGCACAGGTCGTCGTATTCGCCGTCATCATCGGATGAATCTCCGGGTAATGGGGCCGGAGCAGCGGGGCGCGGAGCTTGCGTCCGCCGCCGGAGAAACATTGGGGCGGCGGGGGAAGAAGCCATGATCAGAAGCTGCGTTTGATGGGTTAGGAAAGAATGGAATGGAGGAAGAGGAATGGTCTGCTTGCGGAGCGGCTGAGTGCTTTTACGCGGAAGCCACTCCCCTTTGTTGGACGTTGTAAAATTTAGGTGGGTGTCAGAAATAATCTTTTTCATTTCTCGGCCGATAATTGGATTTCGTGTTTGTATTGATATCCTTCATCAAGTTTAGCAAAAATATAAAATTGTAACTTAAGTAAGAACAAAATAAGTTCTCTTTAATTTTTTCATAAGCATATTAGAAACTTCATCAGTAAACCTACAATAAAATTTGTGGTTGTGGGTTAGATTGATCTACTTTCTTATTGGTTCTTTTTGATTTTATTGTTGGCTTCAATCTCCTTTCATTTGTCTTTTAACTCTTTTCAACTTATATGAACTCACAAGTATTTTACTCAAGGGTTAAAGAACCCTGAAGTATATCATAATTTGTTCGCTCGTACTAAATTTGTGTTTGGTCGTCGTTCTCAAACTATCCCTTGAACCCTCCTCTAGATTTCGAACCCTAACCTCAGTCATGTGCCTCAAAAGGTGTGGAGATTCGAAGGAAATATGATTATGGTTTAGATTGGCAATGATCGTTTTGGTATTGAGATTTAATGTTTGTTTCTTTGGTTAACTTTTTGTATTTGTTTCTCATCGATGAAACGCATACACTGACAATCCTTGTTTGGTTCTATTAAAGGAAAAAACGAACATATTAAATCTCATCATCCTTTTGTTTGGTATTTGTTCGGATATGAAAATAATGTTTAAATGGTATTGGTTTTCGACATGGAGATTTCCTATTTAAATCTTATTATCGAGAAAAACCGACTACATAATGTACTAATGTACCACCTATGTGATTTACAATAATTTGTTTACAATTTTCAGTATTTTTTTAATCATGGTGGTATGATATTATTTATGAGTTATAACTTATGACAAGAATTATAATTGTGGTTACAATTTCACTACTAACATGGGAAATGTTAAATATGTTTGGTAAATTATCCGAGCCTACTAACCTTCATCTTTATTACTTCAAGGGCTTGAAGCCCATGCAGGTTACCAGATCAAAGCCCATAATTCATTCACGCAATCGAGGTTTTCTCCTTCCTCGTGTTTGTCCGTCTACTCCGCCCTCCGCCATGGCGGCCGAGAACCGCAGCTCCGTTCGTATCTCCGCCGAGATACATCCAGAGATGAGCCCGATCACCAACCTCGAAGACGATCTCCTGGCAGATATTCTGATTCGGCTCCCAAACCCCAGACACGCCGGCCGATTCAAATCCGTCTGCAAGCGGTGGACCTCTCTGATCTCCAGCAGTTTGGCTGATTGTAGAATTTTGGAGAAAATCCTAAATTTTAGGTGGGTGTGGATTTCAAATGTATATGGATTTCCTTAATCAAGTTTAGCAAAAAGATAAATGGAACTTAACTAAGTATGGAGTTCAAGACCCCCGCCAAGGGAGGAGAACAAAACTGCAAAATCAGGCTGTTGGTATTAAGTCTATCTGGGTATGCAACAAGAGTTTGAAGTTTCATTCCTGCTTAGTGCCAGCAATGCTGGTAACGTATTGATTCAGGCGCTGCCCGAAAATCCGAGTAGCGAATGAATCTGCCACATGCCGCCTGGCATCGCGTCCCATACTCTTCGCCACATCTGGATCCTCGAGGAATTTGGCCATGGCTTGTGAAAATGCTTGAGCAGTAGGATCACAGAGAAATCCAGTGACTCCATCCTTGACAGACTCGACGGGGCCTCCACTGTTGCATGCAATGACAGGTTTATGAGCTGCCATCGCCTCGATTGGGACAATGCCGAAGTGTTCATCCTGCTCGTTTATCACCAACATATTAGAACCAGAAAACAGAGAAGTGGGGAAAAGAAAATGGGTCATATGGATTCAGAATGAATCCTACCTTAGGTGTATAGATAACACATAGACATTCTGAGAGAAGATCATTTCTTTCGGCGGTGGAACAAGACGTCACAAACTTGACACGATCGGACACTCCTTGTCTATCTGCTAGTCTTCTAAGCTCCTCCAAGTATTCAACATTCTCTCTCAAACGCTCGTCGTATCCGCCTGTGATGGTTTACAACAGAATTCCTCAAGTCTACTATGTACAACTGATTCTCTAGGATAATAATTTCACAGTCTACAGCGAAAAGAAGCTAAGTTCTTCGATAGAAAAATAAACAAGGACAGACTTGCCTGCAATAGTCAAGGAAGCATCCCTCAGCTTATCATTACCAAGTTCCCCGAGGCTGTGAAGCTTGGCAAAGGCAGAAATTGCTAATTCTATGTTCTTCTTCCTTTCAAAACGGTTGATGGAGAGAAAATTCAACCTATTTCACATCAACGCAAATGAAAACCAAGCCGTATAAATGGTTGGGAGAAAACTTTATGAAGTAAAATATTGTAGTACTGGAAAGATTTGAAAGATAGACAGGCATGTCAGTTACTTGGAAGAATGAGGTTCTTCAAACTGCTCCACATTAACAGCTGGATATAGAACAGCAGGCTGAATTCCTCGTGCGTGAAGATGCTTAAATGTTCGAGCAAAAGTAGATGCAGTGAATTTGCTATTTACAAGTATCATATCTGCCATTCCTGCAACCCATACGGAGAGTGGTTTTAGAATGATTTAACACAGAAGTTCAAGGAAGGAGAATCCAAGCCAAGAATGAGTTAGAAAATGAACAGAAAAAATAATATTGTAGTCACACACCGGTTGTTGTTTCTTCCAAGAAGTCGATAGGTTTTCTATATAGTCTTCGGAGTGCGGTTGTGTGTTGAGCCAGCAAGAGGTCTGGAAAATGACAATAAAACACCACCTGGGTAAAACAAGAACATACATCAAAAGCTACATACAAGGGATCTCTGAGAATGAAGCTAACAGTTTTGCAGGGAAATTGATAGAGCTCTAGGTCAAGCTCTATCGGACAATTGGGGATCGGGGATCAACTAGGGATTGATCCGGGAGATTGGGAGATAGATGATAGAAGAAGAGAGGGGATTTGAGATGAGAAGGAGGGAGGGAGGGGGCTGCTGCCGCTGGGCAGCTTGGAAGAGAGGGGGAAAGGGGTCGGCAATCACAGAGGGAAGAGAGGAGGAGGGAGAACACCTAGGAATTAGGTTTATTCTTGCTTACCATTCTCTACGTAAACAATAGCCTAAATACCCAAAACACAATTACCTACTAACTCCCCCAAATTATTAATCCCCCACAATATTCCCAATACCCAAAATAATCCCGAACTAAATAATTCAAACCGACATAAACCGAAATAATTAAAATGTCTATCATTCCCTTCCTCTTCAAAACAACCTTGTCCTCAAGGTTGGTAGCCTTCTCCTGCGTCTTCCCCGTCTCTCGCTTCATCTTCTGCCTCGTCCTCCCACCTCCCTACCAGCATCATCAAGTCCGGACGTGCACACTTGTGGCCAATCGTGAACCTCTCGTCGCAGTTGAAGCACTTCCCTTCCCGCCGCTTCTGCTCGATCTCAGCAGGGGACAGTCGCACAAACCCCTTGGGCGGAGGTCGTGCCCCACCCTTCACGACAGCTACTGGCGCCTGTGTCGCCGTGGGTCCTCCAGCTCCAACCGCGGTCCCAGGCGCTCCTCCTCCTCCACCGCTGAGTCCGCTACTGCTCCCGGCGCCCCCTGCCCGCGGATTGCGGCCCAGGGTGCTCCTCCAACTCGCCAGCTCCTCTTCCTTGAACCCTGCAAGACGAAAAGCAGATTTCACGGAATCCGGCTCAAAGATCCGGACAGCAGCAGCAATCTCCGGCTTCAGGCCGGCCATGCACAACCCCACCAGTGTCTCCTCCGGGACCCCATGGCATTGATTGCCCAATTTAAAGAACTCTGCACGGTAGTCCGCAACAGAGCCAGTCTGCTTCAGCTTAGCCAACTGCTCTGGGGCCCACCCCTCCGATTTTCCAAACTGATAACGCAGCTCCTCCTGGAACAGCGGCCAAGTGATCAGAGTTCCCACCGCCCCATAGGACCTCTCCATCCATTCCCACCACTGCAGCGCTTCTCCCTCTAAGTAGAAGGACGCCAGATGCGCCTTCCTCTCCTCCGGAATGGGGTGGTTTCTGAACCACCTCTCTGCTGCATACAACCACAGCCCTGCATCCTCCTGACCATTGAATTTTGGAAACTCAATGGTCGGGGGTTTGGCTCGAAAGACCATTCCATCAGCTCCATCATAAGCAGGATGATACGAACCATACCTGTCATAACCGGGAGCACCCCCTGGCTGGTCTGGGTAGAACGGAGTCCCCCTTCCTCGCCCAAGGCTGCCTGCGGGCCCTCGCCCCATCGGTCCTGCCCAATTCCCTGCACCGTGCGATCCGCGCCACATGTTCGGGTCCATGCTGGCCGACCTAACCAGCCCCGGTTCGAACCGGTTCGGTCCACTGTCGGTTCGACCCGGTTCGGGTCCGCCCCGACCCGACCCACCTCGACCCGACCCGGTCAGCCCCGGGTCGGTCTGACCAGCCGAGCCGCCTCCTCGACCCAGCCCCGGTCCACCCGGCCCAAACCGGCCCTCCTGGCCCGGCCCAAACCTGCCCTCCTGGCCCGGCCCGAACCGGCTCTCATGGCCCGGCCCGAATCGGCCCTCCTGGCCCGGCCTAACCTGCACGATCTGGGCCCCTGTCACGTCCGGGCCCAAATAGTCCCCGCCACCCGCCGGGTCGGCCCATGGTGCGTTCTGGCCCACCAGGCTGAGCTCCTCCTCGATCCGCTCGTGATCCATGGTCAGCCACCCCAGGCCTCTGGGCTCGTGATACTGGCCCACTATGTCGCTCCGGCCCATTGGCCTAGGCGGCCCCTGCCCAGTCGGCGGAGGCCCATTGTCGTACCCTGGCATCTTGGCCTTACCCTTGCGGGCCGCCAACTCCTGGGCCGTTGGTGTCGGTAGAAGCCCAGGCCCACCGCTGCGCCCTGGCTGACCCTGGCCCACTCGCTCCCCGGCCCCGGGCACCATCTCCGCCGCGTCAACCACCTCGACAGCCGCCGTTGGGGGCGGCGCCTCCGCCACCACCATCGCCCCCGCTGTCGCGCCACCCGCCGCCGCGCCTCCATCCGCCGTCGAGCCTCCCAGCCCGCTCCGGCTTTCGCTCCCATCGCCGCCGCCACCACCCTTCGGCCCAGTGGCTTGCGCGGCGGCCAGCGCCTCCACGACCCTCTGCACCTCATCAAACCTCTTCCAAACTCGCCGGGACTCCTCCTCCTGTTCCCGCCGCTGTTCGCCTTGCTCCTGCCGGAGCGCCCGCCATTCCTTGCGCTCCTTCTCGAACTCAGCTACCAGGCGATCCAAAGTAGACTGAATCAGCTCCAGCCTTTCAGTTTCGTCCACCAGCTCACCGTCCCGCGGATCGGTGGCCCCCTGGTTGCCGCCGCCAGCTACCGGCAGCCCGGTCGAGACCGCGGTGGAGGCCTGCTCCGGCGCCGCCGCCTTGGCAGCCTTCTCCGCCGCTGTCATCGATTTTGTGGACACCATTGCACCCTTCTTTCGCTGTTTGTGATCGAACCCAAGAACCGGGCTCTGATACCAAATGATAGAGCTCTAGGTCAAGCTCTATCGGACAATTGGGGATCGGGGATCAACTAGGGATTGATCCGGGAGATTGGGAGATAGATGATAGAAGAAGAGAGGGGATTTGAGATGAGAAGGAGGGAGGGAGGGAGGGGGCTGCTGCCGCTGGGCAGCTTGGAAGAGAGGGGGAAAGGGGTCGGCAATCACAGAGGGAAGAGAGGAGGAGGGAGAACAACTAGGAATTAGGTTTATTCTTGCTTACCATTCTCTACGTAAACAATAGCCTAAATACCCAAAACACAATTACCTACTAACTCCCCCAAATTATTAATCCCCCACAATATTCCCAATACCCAAAATAATCCCGAACTAAATAATTCAAACCGACATAAACCGAAATAATTAAAATGTCTATCAGAAATCAATATGTACCTTTGTTGCTCTTTTGAGTTTCAACAATGGGATTACAACTGAAACTTGATCCACAAGTACAACATCAAAAGATGGCCAAAGGAACAACATTCCAAGAGCAACCAAGAGGCACCTCAGGTATGCACATACAGCATGAAGCCGGTAGAACACATGGCGGGGAAGAAAGGAACCATATACAGTAACTGGAAAAGTGCCTGCAAAGCCAATTGGCACACATTACATTGACGTCAAGCCATCATGCTGAACAGTGAACACAATACCCCAATCTTCCAAACAAAAAGAAGAAGAAAATCAGAAAACGAGAAACTTCTCCTTCTCGTTAAGGCAAATCGAAAGGAGCAGTCCCACCAACATACACCAGCAAGTAAACCCACTTATGAGTTCAGTAAGGAGAACAGAATAACAAGGGGAGTAGAAGCCATAAAGTACTGAAATCCATGATTCCAATTACCTGCAACAGTTTCCTCAAAGCACCTGTTCTTGTCATGGTGAGCTGTAAATACATGAACCTTGTGACCCTGGGATGCAAGTTCAACAGCAGCGTCAACAATCAACCTTTCAGCTCCACCTACAAAGTACGAAGATGGGTCGAAGAAACAAATCGAACATCAAATAACAGGAAACTTCAAAGTGATGCATAATGCATAGGCAGTTTAGATACATAATCGGTCAATCGAGTACGGTAACAATCCTTCAACAACCTCAAAGTAAATGACAACAAAAAAGGTCATAAATGAATATATCTTTTAGTTTTACCTATTCCAAGGTCAGGGTGAAGAATGGCGATATTCAACTTGGAGCTTCGCTTGAAGTCCATTTCTCTCTGATTCCGTTTCCAAACCGATGCCTTGAAGAAAAGCTGCCTGCTTTCTGGTTCAGAGTGTTTTCCAAGCTTCAGTAGAATTCATGATCCAGGTAATATGCCCAAATCACATTGAAATTTGAAACTAACATCTAGCATCTTGATTGTATATCCTAATTTCCTCGAACAACATTAAGCCACGCCGTCATCGGCTAATCAGACCCAGAAATGCCTAATCTTTACTAGAGCATAAGTCTCATCACAGCTCGAAACACTAACCTCCGTACCAGGCAACCAAAACAAGAGCTACGGCGATGAATTCGCCGATCTACGGCGGCAGCAGCTGATTCCCGAGTTAACTGGCTCTCTTTCCACTTCCTCCGGTATCTAGCTCCTCGGAGATCCAGTCGACTCCCCGATCCCTGTCGGAGTTGATTCGGCAGCTTCTGTCCGGCAACTGCGCCGGCAATTCTTCCGCCTTCGTCAACCGTTTATTCACTCTTCTTGCTTCCCGGTACCCGTTTCCTCCTCTTTCCTGAAACTTGAGATATCGCCTTATTGGGCCTTATTGTTGTTTCTAGCGACTGGACCATATTTTGTTTTGGTTCTAACAGGGCAGAGTTTTGGGCCGCGTTGGCCTCTTTCCCCATTTGCAGACCGTTGAGACTTGAGAGAGTGAGAGAGAGAGAGAGGGCTGAAAAGATTTTGTTTTGCTGAAAAAGATTGCCCTGCTGCGTTCGTACAATGGTTCCTCTGTTTCCCTATTGGATGGAGCCTCTGCAATTTTGCCATTTCCAGTAATAGCGTGGAGAGTGGTTCATTTCTGAGCCAGGAGGAAAGGAGAAGATTGAATCTTTCCATGTTTAGTCAATGTCTACGGCGCCATATTAGAACCTCTCAACTCCCAGTCTCCCTTATTAGTTATTACACACACCCACCCCTCCAAAATTTCAGAAGAAGGAAGTCACTGGCTTTAGTAGCTCTGTAGCTGGTATCTTGAGAGCCACAATGGCGTCCCCTGGAGATTCATCTCATGTGTTTCCAAGAAGGAGGAGCTTCTTTATTAGGAAGGGAGGAGAGCCCAAAACACCAACCACCATCGACTCCAGGAAACCTACTGCAGGGGATGATACACCCACGGTAATGTCTTCCATTTTCAGAATCCCTCTCTTTTTTTGTCTGCAATTTGGGTTTCCTTGCAAGCGATTTCCTACATGGCTACATTTGGGTTCCGAATAGAGACTTTTGTTTCTAAGATTAGGCTGTTGAAAACCTAGCTAGCTACACGACTGGTTCAGTTTGTGGATTCTGTTGTTTCTTCATGATCTATTGATCTTGTTAGTAGAGGGCTAGATGCATGTGCATACGTTTGAGAATCAGAGGTTTTTAAGATGTGGGTGAGTAAATGGAAACACTGTTGTCTTAAAGTTCCCTCATTTGGGTTCCAAATACAAATCGAGGACTGAACCCTTTCTCATAAAGAACTAGATAGGTTTTCTGTATGGATCTTCCAAAGCTATAGTGCTATTTTGTGGTTGATGGTGATTTGTCTTTGCTTTTCCTTCTTTCCCTCAGAAACCTTTGTTCACCGGAAGTCCACAATCAAGCTCTTCTGGGACAAACAAGAGATCAGAACAGAAAAGAATCAAAAGGGAAACGTCAACACCCAAACCAGCAACGCACGAAAATCATAACGTGGGTAATGGAGGTCGTGGTGATCTGCAGCTAAGTGTAAAGGTAGAGGAAGCATTCTTCCAGGAAGATGAAGCAACTCCACCACCGAAGGAACATCAGCCTCATCATGCACTGTCCAAACTGGTCGGACCTCCAGCTCCAGGATCCCCGGCCAAAGCCAAGCAGCTAAGCTCACAAATCCGCCAAGCCTACGCATTATCCATCCCTAATGTGAAGACTGCCCTCGTTGCTTTCCTAACAACAGCATCTCCCAACGATGTCGACGGTATGATACAACAGGCGAACAGCGCCTTCGCATCTCTGGAAGTCCACGGTGCTGATTACCGGTCTTTCTATGATGGAGTCAGGGCATATATCTGCTACTGCTCTCAACTCTCTGCTACAGAGAAAGAGTTGCAAGACAATGAGGACAACATCGGGGTGCTGGCTCGACACAAGCAGCTCAGCAAAGAAATTACCAAGGGATCGAAGGCCGTTTATAAGCTCGACGATGAGTTGCAGCATGAAGCAAGCTTCATGGTGCAGCTGGAATCACGAGTTGAAGATGCTAGAGAGGCGCTCAAAGAGATGGAGATGGAGCTTGAAGAAAGGAAGATGAGGGTGGCTGAGCTGGAAGGTGTGAAGATTCAGAAGCTGAAGGTATTGGAAATGAATATAGATGGAGTGGGCAAGATTGCTGGGAAGGCAAAATGCATTGAAGAGATTATTAAGGACATTGTTTCTAGGCTCGAGCTGGCCAAGATCGCTGTCGAACAGTCTAGGGCTGAATTGTTCAGAGGTTAGCTTAGGGATTCAGGTTTAAGGCATTTCTCTTATTAACAATAGTCGAAGACCCTTACTTGGGTGATCATCACTAATCCTGTAGTTTGTTCTGATCATCAAGGAGATTGTTTCTAGGCTCCAGCTGGGCAAGGCTGTTGTTGAACTGTCTAGAGATTAGCTTAGTAAGCAGTAGAGGGAATGATGCATTTCTCTTATTAACAACAATCGAACACCCTTAGTTGATGATGACTAATCTTGTAGTTTGTTCTGAATATTACTGATCAATGAATGCAGAAGCTCACCTGTTCTTCTGGTAATGAGTTCTGTATCGGTTTGAACTCTGAGATTCACAACCTCGTCGTATTAATTTTAGCAGCGGAAGCTGGCCAAGATGGAAAGTGACAAGTTTGGGAAAATGGAGGTGTTAGGTAAGGGTAGAGATGAAGGGGAAACGATCGATGTTAGCGAGATCGCTGAGACGCTCACGAGCTGTCCAGGATTGCTGTTGATCTGTCTACAGTAAGCTGCTTTAGTGATCTTCCTGAATCCTGCAAAAGCGTGCTCAAAGAAGATACACTGACTACCCTAGATTTCACGCTTTAGTAGAGGCCATTTTCTCTTATCAGCAACAGTCAAAGACCCTGCAAGCTTGGTTTACTTATCCTGCAGTTTAAGGGTTCACAGTTCTTAGGTAATGAAGATTGAAGCCCTTTCTCTTCTTCTAAGTAGTAGTACTAGTACACAGAACTACCCTAGCAGAAGGCATTTCTCTTATAGATACAGTCGAAGAACCCGACTTGGCTGACTAACTCTGCAGTTCGTTTGTTCCATTATCTATCTTTCTGATCAAAATGGATGAAGAGGTTAACAGCTTCCTGGTAGTGAAGATTGAAAGACACTTCATTTCTTCTGTCAAATTACTAGAACATCACACACAACAGTCTTAGGTACAGAACAAGACTTTTGGGGTGGTGAATCAGAGTTGTATTTACAGTTTTACACATGAGAAATCCAAATCGAATAGCTATTTTTAGACATGGGAAGAATGATGAACGAACATATTTATAAACAAATCACCAATCTGGAAATTCCTAATACTCAAAACAGAATCCTTTGAAACAGAGTGCTCTGTCTAGTTTTAGTTTTTGCTACCAGTTCTCCTTGACAATCTTGCATTTCTCAAGGATGAACTTGCCTTCTTTGTACTTCTGGGAAGCCTCGTAGGCTCTCTCGTACTTCCAGCCCAAAATATCACGGCAATCGCCGCAGTAGATGTCGGCGACGGTGTGGAGGCCGGTCAACAGGTTCCGATCCTCTTTGGTACCCAGAACAACGTTCATCGCGTGAGAGAAGAGAAAAGCTCGGCCATTTTTCCCCTAATCAGAAAAACAAAAAAAGACACAGAGAAACAGTGGCGGGCGATCAAGCTGCCGTGATTAACAGCTCCGACGACCATGTTTCAGGGGAAACGAAAGAAGTAAAATTTTCACACCTGGAAAGCCTTCGAGATTATATCATCGTGCAGTGAGACATGATTTCTGCAGTTCCAGCAGCTGTAGAGGCGAGGACCCACCACGAATTCCGCCATTGATCGGCCAATTCCCAGCTCCGGCGACCAGGTTTCTGCTCGTCGGGAAGACACAAACCCAGAGAGTTTAAGATGAATCAGCGAGAACCCAGTTCGAGTGGTTTGTAAAGCTGAAGCACAGAGCGAGAAATAGGAGTTTTGGTTGAGTTAGATTACCGAAAGGGATTGCTGGTACTGGAAGAGAGATGATTCAGTTGAGAAGTGGAGCAGAGGACGGAATCAAGTAGTTGGCGTGCAAGATTTGATTGATTGAGCTTTACTTACTTTCCGAGTAAAGACAGCATTTTCTTCGGCGAATTGGAAGAATTGGAGTTTTGATGACTGGGACGGGGAAAGGATCAAAGAGGTCGACAAAATTGATTCCCACTGTGACACTCAAGACTGACATTTAAAGAAATGTAAAATGACAAGACAGAACGAAAGACAGACAGATCACAGACGGGAAAGTCCCAAAATGAATTGAATAATGAATTAATGGAGTTGTGGTGTATGATGAATTGATAAAGGATAAGAACGTATCGTGGTAATTGATCCACCAATACAATTTGCGGCTTTAATCTAGAGTGTGTAATACAATAGTAGCATATGCATCTTGGTTCTTTGAGTTAGGGGAATTAACCTGTTGGATTGGATCTAATTTCCTGATGCCGTTGGGTACGGGTTTGGGTACCAGTGACTCAAGTCGGAGGTATTTGGCCCCCAAAAGGGATTGGGCGAAAAGCGGGCGAAGGAACGAAGTTGCTCGACTGAAAGGAGAGGAGGGGAATATGTTCGACCGTAGGGAGAAGGTGCGAAGGGAGTGGATGGACTCGTAATATGAGGATTGAAGAAACTACGCTCATACTTGCAGCTGTAGGGAGTTATTGAGTGATCGTCATAGTGATCGAGTATGTACGATATAATTTACTGATTTAAGGATTTAATTGAAGGAAATCTGCACTAAGTATGACATGTTTTGACCTAAGCGATGTCACCTCTGACATGTGGATATAATAAGCTAGTGTCTAACATGGAGCGAAGTCTTGCAAGAAATTTGATAACGCAAGAAAAGATTGATCCCTCCGTTGCAGAGGGGACACATATCAGGTTAGTGTTTGATCCGTCTTCACTTAAAAGGAGTTTTGCCTTTGTGCTATCTATTGACTCTACATGTTGCATGAGCAAGAAGTTCATCGAGCGTGAGTTAGACAATGTTCCCCTCTTTTTTTCCTGTCTAACATGCATGGCTGTCTGATATTGACAATGGGGAAGACAATTGCTAGAGGGTTGATCAGAGATCATCTGGAGGCGATGCCACGACGCCTTTACCATCAATCTGGATACCTGCTCGATCACGAGAGCATAATTGAGAGCGACGAAGGTGAGACTGACCACCCCTCACATGGATTAAATAAGGATACACGACTATTATTTTGTGTGTGGACTCGACAATGGTCATCGGTATCATCAAGAGCAATAAAGAAATTGAAATTCAATCTCAATCTCAATCAAAAAAAAAATACGTGTATTCAATAATACCAAATATAGACAAATTCGGTACTATATTCGGTATATTTCAAATATCGGTACCAAACTTCCCGCCCTAGTTGTCGCCATTAGCATGGTTGATCATTGGTTGGAGAGCACAACACAATCGGCCGGAGGTGCCATCCAAACCGGAAAATCTGAAAACTCCGTTGATCAGGACTCTGCTATACGATCTGGTCTACAGAACAAGAATTACAGCAAATCAAGTGACGCATAACAGTTTATTATACCGTTTAGATTGATACCTTGCAACCAAAGACGAAAAACATACGCACATAAACCACCCACCCCTTTGATTTCCACGGCCACCGTAGATCACGAAGCTCACTCTGCCTCCATAAATTGGCCTCCCCTGTTTTCCCCTGATTACGATCACCCCCCAGCCTTTCAGCAAAACAGAAACTCAAAAAAAAAAAAAAAAAAAGGAACAATGGGTCCTTCTTCTTCCTCATCTCCCCCTAGCAAGTCGCCCTCGTCGGCGCTCCTCCGCTTCCTCCTCCTGGCCGGCGTCGGCATGGTCGCATTTTGCCCAACCGCCGCCGCCGCCGACGACGAGGGTAAGGGTGATCGGAGCTTAGTGTACTTGGACTGCACACACGGCGGAGAATATCCCTACTCCGGCTACAAGGACGACCTGAAGGATGCTTTCCACTACCTGGAGGAGAACACAGGCCCGAATTACAGCTCCGTCGATTGGTTATCAAAATAGCGTCTTATGAATGACAAGTAATAACAATTAACAAATGGTAAAAGATCCGCGTAACTGAATCTCTTTTTAACAACTCGGAGTTATTATGACCGGATTGATTTTTTTGATGTGATATTAGAGTATCATGTGATCGCGTGATGTATTCCGTACGAATTGATGTACGAATCCTGATGACCCTTATTTGTTAAACGCATGATATTTATCCCCGTGCAAACTTCAAACCTATGTGAATTGGCTTTCGTTTTAGGAAGCATGTGACTAAATGATATGATATAAGATTCATACCACCCATTTCTTAGCGTTGCTGGTTTTGACATTAGCGTTGTATTGCTTTATTACATTAGAAAACTCTTGACAGAAGCTAGCTGGAGATATATAGCATGGATCTGTGATCAGTATTCCTTGGCAAGCTTGGATTTCTCGAGTATGAAGTTGCCTTCCTTGTACTTCTGCTTCATATCATGGGCAAGAACATACTTCCACCCCAGCCCCTCGCCGCAGCGGCTGCAGTAGATGCTGGCAATGGTGAACACTCCAGTCATCAGCTGCTTCTCTTCCTTTTGCCCCAACACCGCATTCATCACATGAGAGAACATGTAAGCTTGCCCTGATTTTGCCTGTTATATATGAACAGATTCATCCCCATGGTCAAACATCTTATCTTCACATTGACTTTCGAAGACCAAGTCAACACCTTTAATTTATCTTTGTACAAGTCAAAGATCAGACTGGATCCCAGTATCCAAAACTTGTTAGAAAGGAGATCGATAGTGGAAAATTGTCGATCCAAGAAACTGAAATGGAGTGGATCATCATTGATGATCATAAACACACCTTGAACTTCTTGGAGAGGAGATCAGCATGGAAGGCAAGAGGAGTTCTGCAGTTCCTGCAGCTGAACAGTGGATGCCCACCTGCAGATTCCGCCATCTTGAACTGGAAACCCCACAATACCCAGAACCCAACAGAAAGGACAACATGGACAGATTAAGAAGGTAATTAAGAACGTGATTAACTCAACTACGTACGTTGTGGACTTGTGGTGTGTTGCTTAAGTTAAATGAACATAAGATTAAGATGTTTCTAATTACAAACAAGATAACATACCTTGTCCATTTGTTTGGTTCTCTGGCTGATCAGCTGTGTCTTAACTGGGAGAGAAATGGGAGAAGGATAGTTGTCTTAACTGGTTTTAGGGGCAAAGATGCAAACTTTTATAGAGTGAAATCAACCCAAAGTCAAGATTATCCATAACGAAACTACTTTATCACCAAGGTTTCTCTTGCGTTCATCATCATCACCCTCTATTTTTCAACCACTACACTTCTTCCTACCTGTTGCTGTCTTTTATTACTCTTTTCCAAAGACCAGCTAGTCAACGTTCATTATCTATACTTGGGCTGAGAGGCCGAGACACTCGCATAAGCCCAGCCTTGGTCCATCCCTGACCCATCAATAAAAATGGGCCTAAGTTTATAACTTTTGGGCCAGACGTTGTTGGCGTCGAATTAGTTAACTCACTCCCGCCGGCGGTATTACCGAACAAGCGGTTGAGGAAAACTCCCCGGCTTCCCTCTTCCATCCTCGTATCCCCGAATCGAACAAACCGTTCTGCGTTCCCTCCTTCTCTTGTCTCTGTAACGGTTACCGGAAATTAACGACCGCCTCCATATCCTCTGCTTCCGAAGCAATGTCCGACGCTTACTGGAGATACGCCGACCCCCGGCAGCCTCCGCATCCGTCGTCGCAGCAACCGCAACATCAACAGCAACAGCAGCCCCAGCACCAGCAGCAGCCTCCGATGTCTTCTTTCGTCGGGAAACGCCCGCGTACAGGCGAATATGGTAAATTCAATTCCTTTCTCCTTCATTCCCGTCTTGGCCCCCTTGAGCTTTCTCGGAATTACAGCTCTTATTTGTCGGCCTTCCTTTAGATTTGAGATTAGGGTTGCCTCCCTCTTCCGATGACATTACCGATCTGGGTTTGTGCGAATTTGGATTTTGATTGAATTCTGTTGTAAAACATGCTTGTTGCTGCAATTCTATGCCCTCTGACAATCTCGGGCGTACAATAGTTGTAGAAAAGATGCTTAATTGGTGCTAATATAGAGCTACATAACCTCTGTAGATGGTCCTGGTGGGCGTGATCTCATCAATTACTATGGCCGTGAAGATGAAAGAAGTGGTGGTGGTGGTGGTGGTGGTGGTGGTGTTCGAGTAATTAGAGATACAGATGCCCTTGGATCATCTTATGACCGTTATCTACGCAGTATGGTAATGATGTTTTGATTAAATATATATCGACATGGGCTAGAATGTTTTTGCAGTCCTGCCTGGTTCCTGGACTGAGTTCAAAATTCTTCCTTTTCCTCTGCAGCAAGCTTCGTCATATGGTGGTGGTAATGGACAACCTGCAAGATCCATGGGTACAGGTATGGGAAGCATGGAGCCTGGGGGTGCTCCAATGAGTGACAGAAACCTTGGATTCGGAGGTGGAAGGAGTGATCTTTCCCTCCCTCCTGATGCTAGCAGTACGCTGTATGTAGAGGGTTTGCCCTCTGATTGTACGAGGCGCGAAGTTTCTCGTATCCTTTTAACTTCGCTTTGTGATTGTATTTCAAGGTTGTATTGCAACGATATATTTCTATTTCGTAACTCCTTGATCTAAGTTGACAGATATATTCCGCCCGTTTGTTGGTTACAAAGAAGTTCGACTAGTAAGCAAGGAGTCAAGACGTGTATGTTCTCATTCTCATCGTCTTGATAGCCTATGAATTGTTTATCTTTGCTCTTGGAACTGTTACATAAGTTGATTTGTGATTTTGACACTGTGCAGCCTGGGGGAGATCCATTGATCCTCTGCTTTGTTGACTTCATGAGTCCTGCCCATGCTGCCACCGCTCTGGATGCCTTGCAAGGTAAAGCATCCTTATCATACATTATGCTAGCATCAAAGTCATCCTCATTTGTGATGTTTTCCCTCTTACTAGTTGCCTCATTTTCATTTGTCTCCTTGTGGATTCAAGGGGTACCATTTAGATTTGGTTCCTGTTCAGATATGGAGATTCCATTATGCTTAACATACCAAAACCTGAGTGTCAAATTGATAACAATGGTAGATTGTCTTGCTAAGTGGGGCTTTATCTGGTTGTCCGTTTGCGAACTCAACTGAGCTTGAACGTTTTTCGCAACACCAAAGCAACTGGTCATCTTATCCCCAAATCGTCCTCGATGTCCTTTCACTTGCGGGAAGGGTTGAATGCTTGGCTCCTCAATTTTTACGTGTGTGCGAACTGGTTTAATGTTCGGTGCAGTACGTTCAGTGCAGTATGTTTCTGAGTGCTTGTATTTTGCGGTGAATGAATTCTTACGTCGCTCGAAACCGTCAGCGGCCATCCTGCGTGCGTAAATAGTCGAGCTCGCTTTTTGCAGGTTATATGTTTGATGAGCACGATCATGATTCGCTTCAGTTAAGGTTGCAATTTGCTCGCTATCCTGGTGCGAGATCAGGTAGCGGGCATCGTGGCAAGCGTTGAGTGACACGATGATTTTGCCAGGTGACTAGTGCTTACTAATCCCGCTCGACCTCTTACTACTGTTCATGCGGTCGTCAATTAAGTAACAATGGATTCGGCTAAAATCATCCAACCGTCTATGTAGGATTTGGCTAAACGACAGCCTCACTTCGAGTATTATGTGATTGCCCTAATGGATGCTTTCACTAGGTCGATAAACTCGATTATGCGTCTTCGCAGCGCAGGCGGATGCAGACCCCTTACCTTGTCTGTTGAGAGAGTTGGAAAGTTTACGCTTTGAATAATGATCTAGAGTTCTTACAAAATTCTGGTGGATTTGTTGTTCCTTATTTCGCCGGTGCGGTGAATGTTTGTTTATGTATTGATATTTACCAATGGGAGGTGATCTTAGGGAGTGATGTACTTATTCATGGATAGACTTCCATGCTTGTTCAAGCTTAGCTCATATCTCAGAGAGTGTACGGAGAGTGAGTGATGTATACTACTATAAGCTGCCTGCCTATGGATCTTATGTTTGTGCTATTCTATCGATGTTAACCCTTTCTTTACTAAGAATTATCCAGAAATTCAGTGAATGGTTGCCGTTTTAGCTTTAAAGGTAGCCATCCTGGTTCAGTCTGTTCTTTTTTTTTTAGCCTGATTCCTTCCATAGAATGTTTGTTGACATGATGTTTTATTGCTCCTTGAACTTGAAGTTGCGTTTCTGCTAGTTAGCACCATGCCATTGTCTGTGCCTCGTCTATCTGATACACCAATTTCAGCAGCATACCAACAATGCACTTATGGTTTAGCTAGACTCCACTCCTGGGTTCTTGGTCTTCACAAGTTTCAGAGCTGTTATAATGGAACTTTCAGTATCAGGTTGAATTCGACTCCTGGTCTGTACTTTATGCTGTTAGGAATAAGTGATTATTGCAGGTCCGTCGCCTATGTGCTAGTGTAACTAGTCACTTATAGGCTTCATAGTTTAGCAATCCCTTTGTTAAAGGTCTGTGCATGGTCGATGTTTTTCACAGTTAGAAAACAGCTTCTTTTGCAGCATATCTTGGAATGCAATGCCACAAAAAATGATGTATTCCACTTCTGCGCGCACTAGAAGCGTTTGCAGTTCTGGATTACACTCTACTACCACTACTTCTATGGTTCCTCGGAAAATTTCATGTTTAAAGTGTTATGAAATGGCTAGCAGCTTGTCATTGTGATGATGCTATATGATTTTGTTGAGCATCAGCTCGTGTTCATAAGAAGGCATATATATTCTGTTAGGATTCTGTGTCCCACTCCTGGTCCTTGTGCCTCTTGTGAGCTTGTTTGTGCCCCTACGGTGACCACTGACCACCGTAACCCGGTTTCACACCTGTGATTCTGTGAACTGGGGATAGTCAGTTGGCCTCTGATTCTGATGATGTAGCGTTGTATCAGCCACGGGACAAAGTCAGTTTTGTACGACGGTATGGCAGGCCTAATGCTGACGTTGAAGATCAGTGTTGCTTTCGGGACTTGTGGCTTCTTCTTCTTCCACTGTCTATGACTAGCTGGTTGGGCAGTTGCTGACTTGCTAGCTCACTGAGTTCAGACTTGGTTGCTCGATCCTGCTTTCTTGTTTTCCTTTTCACATTATGGTAATCATTCTGCTGGATGTTGACTAACTAATCTTGTTCTTATCGTAAAGTGACTCCCTTTTCGGTTTTTAAGTGGTTTTCTTCGGGTTTGTGAAATTTGTGTCGGTAGTTCGACTAGAAAAAACCTCCTATTGAAGTCTAAATTGTTAGGCAAATCTTCTTATGATCTCTTTAGTTGATACTATAAGAGGGGTGTGTTAGGCTAGTTAGGTAAGGTTAGGTTTAACATTAACAGAATTGACTCGCGGATTGGACCGACTTAACAAAGATGGAGTTGTAGAGTGTGATGGATGTTAATCTTGCTTAGCGCAAAATCAAAAGATAAGGTTATTAAGATTGGAAGCCTAATGAACTGTCTTGTTAGTGATTAGTGACCCAAACTTTAATGGTTGCTTATGTAGTAATTGAGCCTTATGGCAATGTGCAGTTTGCGGCTCGTCAAGTCAAAGAGGCAGCCGAAAAACTCTGATTCCTCGTGCATGTATGTATATATCCGTTCACAAGAAAAACTCTCATTTTTGTGTGCTTCGTAAATATGTGCAACTCTCCCGTCGTTGGATTAACTTTTAGTTGAACACTGTCCTTATTTTCTCTCAGTTTTGTAAAATCTTGCTTGGAAATTTTTATTTATTTCTGGTAGAATCTAGTTGTCTCTCTTCTGGTTTCTTGTGGGGGAAAAAAAAAGAGTTTGTATTTTAAAGTCATAAGTCCAGCAAGTAAACGCTTAATTTCCTCAAAAACTGTTGAGGAATCCATCAAGTGGGTCGCCGCCAGCACTTTCACAATAAATGCTTTGCAAGTTGCCTCCCAATTCTATGCTTTTTGGGTCGTCTCGTGCATGCAAAGCCACAAATTTGAATTGATTGTCTAGGTATGGTCCAGCTGCGACTATTGAATTGATGGGTTTTAGTATAATTTTTTTTTCCTCCAAAAATTAAAGTTAGAATGATTTGAAGAAAATTGACATTGTAATCAAGATATATCATTTGAAGAGAGTCATTGATAAAAATTCACTATAAACGACGCATTAAGCAAAATATTATCCCATTTACCTTTCTGAACCTACTCCAGATTGGTTTGTTGTTAGCTATTAAATAGTGGAGGATTGCATCTAACCCATAAAAATGGGTTGGTGAATCTGTCTGTAATTCTGTATTCTTGTCTCAATTGGAATTTCGGAAAGCTTGATACATATATAGCAAGCATCATAATGACGCATTAATTTCACAATTACCCCTTCCAGCTCAGTAATTTCCCAAAATAATTCCCCCCCTATAATTCCATCTAAATGAAACCCGCCACCTAAAAAAAAAAAATTGTCCGGTCAACTTCAGGAAACAAATCCCGCTCACGTGGCAACCGAATCTTCAATTTCCCCCTCGTGATTCCCTGCATAAAAACCGAATCCTGAATCTGAGAACTCATTGAATCTCGCTCACTCCAACAGCTCTCCCCTCTCCTCCCCTTTTCTCTCTCTCTCAGACCCATGGCAGATTCAGAGACGGCCTTCGCCGTCGCCGCCGGCGGCGGCGACGAGGAGCAGAAATGCGTCGTCCCGCAGGTGGAAGTGACGGTGCCGAAAACCGACGACCCGACCCTCCCCGTGATGACGTTCCGGATGTGGGTTTTGGGCCTGGCCTCCTGCGTGATCCTCTCCTTCGCGAACCAGTTCTTCTGGTACCGGACCCAGCCCATGTCCATCTCCGCCATCTCGGCCCAAATCGCCGTTGTCCCCTTAGGCCACCTCCTGGCCAAGACGCTCCCGACACGTGTCCTCTTCGCCGGGACAAGGTGGGCCTTCACCATGAACCCGGGCCCGTTCAATGTCAAGGAACACGTCCTCATCACCATCTTCGCCAACGCCGGCGCCGGCACCGTCTACGCCACCCACATCTTGAGCGCCGTCAAGCTGTATTACAAGCGCCAGATGACCTTCGTTCCGGCCATGTTGGTCATGATCACCACCCAGGTAAATTAATAAGCCTATCAAGTTTTGATCTAATTGAATTGCTAATTAAACCCTAATGTGGTCTAAGTTGGCTTTAATGTGAATCCGTTAGGTGCTAGGATTTGGCTGGGCAGGACTTTTCCGGCGTTACCTCGTGGAGGCAGAGGAAATGTGGTGGCCAAGCATCTTAGTCCAAGTCTCTCTCTTCAGAGCACTCCACGAAACCGGGAAGAGGCCGAAATCCGGTCTAACCAGAACCCAATTCTTCCTCATCGTCCTAGCCACCAGCTTCAGCTACTACATCTTCCCAGGCTACCTCTTCACCATGCTCACCTCCTTCTCCTGGGTCTGCTGGATGTTCCCCAACTCGGTCCTCGGGCAGCAGCTCGGGTCCGGTTTAAAAGGGCTCGGGATCGGTTCGTTCGGGTTCGACTGGTCCACCATCTCGTCCTACCTGGGCAGCCCGCTGGCCAGCCCGTGGTTCGCAACCGCAAATGTAGCGGTCGGGTTCGTCCTGGTCATGTACGTGATGACCCCGCTCACTTACTGGTCCGACACATACAAGGCCAAGACATTCCCAATCTACTCCAGCAACCTGTATCGATCCAACGGGTCTCGATACGACATCCTGAGCATCGTCGATTCGAGGTTCCAGCTCGACCGAGGCGTCTACTCGCAGCTCGGTCGTGTCAATCTCAGCACGTTCTTCGCTATGACGTATGGAATTGGGTTTGCTACTCTGTCTGCTACGGTTGTTCATGTCCTGCTGTTTAACGGGAGGGATCTGGTGAGGCAGAGCAGGCGGGCGTTTGGGGACAGGAAGATGGATGTGCACACTCGGCTGATGAAGAGGTACAAGCAGGTTCCCGTGTGGTGGTTCGTGGCGATCCTGGTGGTGAACATTGCGGTGATTCTGTTCGCCTGTGAGTATTACAATGCGACTCTGCAGCTGAAGTGGTGGGGAGTTCTTCTAGCTTGTGCCGTCGCCATTTTCTTCACCCTCCCCATTGGTATCATCAATGCCACCACCAACCAGGTACGAGGACACTAAAAATTAAACCTTTCGATGATCTGATTTAGTGGCGAAGCTATGTGTAGTCCGGTTCAGTACACTCGATTTTTCATTTGTCGTTACAATGTGAGAGTGGATTCGTACATTGAGAAATCATAGAAAGTGGTAGAAGTGGGGGACTAATGGAGAGTGTGGATTCATACATTAAAAAATCATGCAAAGTGGTAGGATGGCGGCTAGCTATTAGCCCCCGCTCATATGAGATTTAGGTTCAATCGTTGAAAAATGGTTGCAACTTGTTATCTTCTCGCTTTAATTTCTGGCATCTTCGTACATTGAGAAATCATAGAAAGTGGTAGGATGGGGCTATTAGCCCCCTTACTCCTTCGAGATTTAGGTTCAATCGTCGAAAATGGTTGCAATTAGTTGTCTTCAGTCTCTTCTCACTCTAATTTATAGCCCGTCATATATTGAGAATTCCTAGAAAGTGGTAGGATGGAGGCGCTATTAGACCCCCAACTCTTTCGAGATTTAGGTTCAATCGTCGAAAAATGGTTACAATTTGTTATCTCTTCAGTCTCCAACCCCCATTCAAGCATAAGTCACTAAAATCATTGATGATCTGATTCGACATTACTAAGTATTACAAGATGATATAAGATCTATAAGTAACATTCTCCTAACAAGCCGTTTTATTGAGATTAACTGGTTATAATGACGCTGATATTGGTGTTTGCCCTGGAATTGCAGCAACCGGGTTTGAACATAATCACAGAGTACATAATCGGGTACGCATACCCAGAGCGTCCCGTCGCCAACATCTGCTTCAAGGTCTACGGCTACATCAGCATGGCACAAGCCTTAACCTTCTTGAGCGACTTCAAGTTGGGTCACTACATGAAGATCCCGCCTCGATCCATGTTCGTCGTCCAAGTAGTCGGAACAATCGTCGCCGTGATGGTCTACTTAGGCACCGCGTGGTGGATGATGGAATCGATCCCCAACCTCTGCGACCAGGACAAGCTCCCCGCAGACAGCCCCTGGATGTGCCCGATGGACAAGGTTTTCTTCGACGCCTCCGTAATCTGGGGGCTAGTCGGCCCGAGGAGGATCTTCGGCGATTTGGGTGAGTACGGGAACGTCAATTGGTTCTTCGGAGGTGGAGCTCTGGCTACCGCTCTCGTGTGGCTAGCGTACAAGGCCTTTCCGTCACAGACGTGGATTCGGTACGTTAATATGCCCGTGCTGTTGGGGGCTACCTCCGTGATGCCGCCGGCATCGGCGGTGAACTACACGAGCTGGATCGCGGTCGGCTTCGTGTCGGGTTTCGTGATCTACAGGTGGCGGCCGAAGCTGTGGAATCGGTACAATTATGTGTGCTCTGGCGGGCTGGATGCCGGGACGGCGTTCATGACGATTCTGATCTTCTTCTGCCTGCAGAATCGGAATGTGGCGGTTGATTGGTGGGGGACGAGGCCCGACGGGTGTCCTCTGGCGAGCTGTCCGACGGCGAAAGGGGTTTCCGTCGATGGGTGTCCGCCTGCTTGAGCTTGGTCTCTTTGTTGGGCTCTGTTTCTTGTAATGTGTACAGTAGAGATGCCTAGGAGGCTAGGAAGTGTTGGGTTTTGTGATGTTTAACGATGTGTAATTTCGTGTTGTCGAATAATAATCCTACGCCAATGGGATGATGGATTTGATTTCGTATTGCTTCCATCTATCGTATTTCGTATTGCTTCCATCTATCGTATTTGTATCTTATTAAAAATTAAAATTTTATATTTTTCATTAGATATTAACAATCACCGTTACCGAACAATAAAAATCCATTGATCTCGAGAGAAGATTGTACGTACATACCAATTGAGGAGAAGATCGTACGATGATGATGATAGTAAACTGATCGGTAGTACGCAGTACGCATGCTGTGAAAGAAATGTATGTACGGTAATTGGGGGGATAAAGCATACAAGAGTGATATTGATTCGGCTCGGCTCCTTCGTATACGTCTTCCTTTTATCAGCCGGCGGCGATCGGTCGCACTGCCGGCCGGCCGGCGGACGTTGAGGGAGATGAGCCGGACCAATATCACGCCATGTCTACTTTCTCCGATCATCGGTACTCTTCCTATTTTCCTTTCCGTTTGGGTGGTGAGTACTAGAGTGGGTTCCTGAGGCCTATAAATAGCCACCAAAGGAAGATTCGTATTTCCTTTGATAAGTTTGTTTTGGATTGTATTTAAGGAGAACGTGACAATTTGCAATAATAATATAAATGATTATATATTTGTAAAGTGTAGGAATCGATCGAGTTTTTTTTTTTAATATTCACAATTTAGATGGAACGCTAATGTATGCAGACAAGTAGCTAGTTATAAATACAAAAAAAAAAATGATTCTCTTCACAATGGAAAAAGGACCTTCTACCCAATGAGCAACCATCCTTAATTCCATCACACGCGAGCATGACTCAACACAAATTACGTCATAGATAGATCATAAGATCAATGATTAATCTTTACAAAATAATTCAAAAGTATTGGGATTAACGGGTTTATGACGTACTAATTATCAGGGCTGGTTTGATTAAATGATTATGTGTACGAATTTCTATGACCCTTAACATTAATTAACATGTTGATCTAGGCACAATATATGGTACGGTGGAACTATGCAAATTTTAAAACTCTCGTGAGTTTTGCTTTAATTTACTAATCTTCTCCCAGAAAATTGGGACGACCAGCTGATTATGATACGATTTTTTTTCTCCTGAAGTGTGTGTATGGTACACGCTCTATTTTCGATCAAACGTTATGTAAGAATTGATCGGTTTCATGATTGTCGTTTCGGTTTTATATACTGTTCGTTTTAAAATGATCTCAATATTCAGTTGTAAACACAACGATGAAGTACACTTGTGAATTGACGGGAAAAAAAAATCATTTATAATTTACTTGTAATAATTTTAATAATGATCAAAACCTATTCAAACAACTTCAACAAGAATTCATTTAATCATAATTGACGATAAAAAAAAATGGATGAAAACAACTTCAAACAGCTTCTTCATAAAAAAAAACAACTTCAAACAGCTTCATTCTTTCCGCCACAGCTATCGGCAATATTCGGCAAACAGCTATTTTCCGACCATTATGGTCCGTGGAGCTACACGAAAACGGCATTCCAAGTTCCCAACTAGCTAGCCGATCGGTGGCCGGAAAAAGTTCCTTTTTTTGTCTCGGGATATATGGTATTGGAGTTCATATTCGTCTCCCGGCCGGTAAACATGGAAATCCAGATTAGACTATTTCCAAGTTATTAACTCCTGGAAAGACAACGATGTTTTTACATTATACTTTCATGTCACTATATACGTTTCGACTCATGGACGGCTTACCGGAGAAAACGAGGAATGAAAAAAATGGCAGGAGTATCTTGAGGCTCGTTGTGTGACCGGTGCATCAACGAATACAGACAATATTTGTCTTTGCATCATGGTCCATGAAATCGTACCGGAAAATTCAGCTGTAAGGTATTTTATGTTAAAACCGGGTTTTATCGTAGTTCAACCATTGTACCGTTAAATACCGTCTACCGGTTTAGCCTCCGATACTGGTATTTCGTGGTTGAACCGCCGGTACGGTACGGTTTCATGGACCATGCCTTGCATTAGATTGCAACTTGTGCCATTACATTATGTAACCTTTGGGTCGCCCAATGAGGCTATTCGATCCATTGAGGCCTGAAGCCCTTTCCGGGCCTAGTATGGAATGGACACCTTGATTGGGCCCATCTTAGTTATATGGATCATATGTCTCGAAGCCCATATCAAATTGCCTTTCTAATTTCTATCTGGTCTCTGCACAAAGTAACCATTTCGATTTTCGACTCGGCTTGGGTTTCTCTCGTAGCTGATCGTCGTTGTTCTTTCTTCATCCCCTCCGGCAGGTGAATGCCAATCATCGGAACGTCTCGAGCGTCTGTGAGGAAAGAGTCGGGAATTTAAGCAAATGGAGGAACGGAGCGTCGGAGAAGTGCTCTACGAGGAACGACGTCACGCCTCCGGGCCATATTCTTCTCATTACCCTCCTCTCCCTTCCAAGGTATTGCCGTCTTAGATCGATCTCTATGTTTCCTTGTTAATTCTCCCGCTGTTTGATTCGCTAACGAGGATTCCAATTCGTAATTCCGACGATATCTTTGCCCTCTGCTTATCATTCCTTTTTCCCGCTATTTTGTGTTGCTTCAGAGTAATGATGGCGGAAGCGGCGGCTTCCTCTCGTTTCTTTCAGTTCGAGGTATGCGATTTCTTCACTAGAACTAGAAAAAAAACTTCCTTTTGATTCACCTTCGGCTTGGTACTTCTTCTCGACAGTGGATAGCGGCGGTCAATTTGAGTCAAGTTGCTTTTTGGCCAGAATCAGATCATTGTTAGTCTTGGCATGAGTTGAGAATTAAGCAATATAGCTGCGGCCTGACCTGGGTTCCAAAATTCTGTTCACGCTCATGTTGGATTTGGGGCAATTTGTGACGGTTCATTAGAGATTAAAAGATATGGTTCAGAAACAAGACAGATTGATTTTGCTTCTGTATAGTATCCAATTTGACTGATATGATCAGTCTTATTTTGAGCATTAGGTCACCATGCTTCTAGTGAAAAGATGGTGCTAGTTAAGAGCCTATTTCGGCCACTTTATCTTATGTCGCTGGGATCCTCATTGTTTCTCTGTTTATCAGCTGTCTGCATTCCTAATCTGTGACTCGCAACTGTTCCTTATTTATTTCTTTCTGTCTTTCTGTGTCATTGTCTCCTTTGTTGGAACACTTCTGACTTGGATTTTGTGGGGTTCTCAAATGATTTAATTACGTGTTATTTTTCCCTTCTCTGTTCATGCGAACAGGTATAAGCCAACTCAAAGAGAAGTGGAGAGGCCAGAGTAATCAAGCAAATGCTACGAAGCCTGTCTCCTTGTTTATCTCCCCAAGGGGTGAACATGTTGCTGTTGCTACTGGGAGTCAGATAACAATCTTGCAAAAGGAGGACGATTACCAAGAGCCATCCGGTCTTTTTACGAGTAAGACTTGATTTTAATTTTCATGAGAGAATGCCTTAGATAATCAGTATAAGAATAGACTCTTTATGAAAGTAAATAACCATTTTTTTTTTCTGTTCTCCTCTATGCTTTGTGATAAGAGATCATTGCATAATTCTTGTGCCTTAGAGGCTTGAGGTGTTTATCTGTTTGTTTTGGATACACCAGGTGGCAGCTCTTGTTTATATACTTGTGGAACGTGGTCAGAACCACACAATGTACTTGGTGTTGTTGACAACATGGATAGTCTGTATTTCATCAAAGCAAGTGGTGTACAGATAGCTCAATTTACTAAGAGGCAACTCAGAATCTCATCGCCTGTAATTGGTCTGATTCCTCAGGATGGTGGTGATGGTCTTGGATCTTGTCTGTAAGTCTTTCTGGCACAGTATCTCTTGGTGCTTGAATGGTCAATACTTTCTCCAATATAAATACTTTCTCGCACAAGCAGTCTGCTAATTTTAAGGTCTTTTGCACTTGCCCTTCAGGTATCTTAATTTTCTTTTCAAACTGTATGCACAAAAATAATAGGGTTTCGACATCTGATTTATATGATTGGAAAACATGCAGATGTAGTTTCATAGTCGTTACGTCAGATGGACTTCTTCATCATGTTGATGTTGGTAGAGAGCCTAGCAGTAGCTGTGTGTCAAATAGCAGTTCAGCAGCTAAACCGCAGTTCCCTAAGGATGTTTTCTGCTTTCAGTATGCTTCAGAGAATTCTCTGCTTCTCATGGTTGGTGGCGTTGGCAGTGGCTCTGTAACCTCTGGTAAAAAACCTGGTAGGCATTCATTCCGTTAATGACGTATTTTGCTAGTGTTGGCTTATGTTTCTGGTGAATTAAGAGATGAGCTGACAGGTTTCTGTGTGTGGAGTGTAATGAATGACCTTACGTTACAGAGTTTGCATAAATTTACTTGTCATTGTCAATTTTTATTATTCTCAATGATGTAATTTTGTAAGAACTAAGAAAATTTATTGATTCTCATCATTGAGCTGAACCTTAAAGGATATTTATTGTCAACATTGATTGGTCCAAAGAAATTTGGATCACGGGAGAGTACATGTGATTTTTGTTCACAATTTATTTTTTTGGGACTAAACTCATTTGTAGTTCTGTGCACTGATATTGCACCCTTTTGATCAGGATGCCACCTTTCCATTTGGCGTCGATGTCAGAACTTGAATCTTGAACAGTTGTCAAATGTTCAGTTTGAAGGCCAGTATTACAGACTGCAAGATGGCATTAAGTTTCTGGCATATCCCAAGGTACTAATGTCTCCAGAAAGCCAATTTGTCTCTACTCTGGATGCAACAGGACATTTGCATGTTTTTAGGGTTGATAAAGAAAGCTGGGCACTTTTCAGCTTCGAAAACATGGAGAGATCAAATTCATCTTCTGCTAATAACCTATCGACTGAGCAGAATGGTTACTTGAATGACATCGTGGATTTTACTTGGTGGTCAAACTGCATCATGACTGTTATTAAAAGGGGTGGAATTGTTATGATGCTTGATATGCTCAGCGGCTCAAAAGTCCTGGAACATGATCTGGCATACTCCATGCCCATTGTGGACAGAGCACAGGAAGTACAGGGGTCGATATTTCTTTTGGAGAGCAAATCTTCTGATCACAGAAAAATTCC